TATTAACTTAATTTTTCATTTTATTGAAATTTTCATAATGACAAGGGGTGGTTTCACTCCTTAAACTCGAGTTACCGCAGCTAAAAAAAAATACGTGTCGATTATTTTTGGCTGCTTTATAAGTGTACGAAGTTTCTTCAAAATCGAAGCCGGACCGTTCGCGAACATTCCTTGTAAGTAATAGCGTATTAGTGTTTTAGATGTAGATTCGATTCATATAAATTCTTTTACAAATATATAAATATCTACAGAAATATCGCCGACACTATTTTGTGGGACAGACTGTATATCAGTCAATATTGTATGTAGCAGAAAGTGTGTATTCTGTGCTTCGTTTCTATACAACAAGCGAACAAATTTGAAATTCGTGTGTAAGTTGAACGGAACAGAATTGTCATATTTGAAGCATATGTTGAAGAAATATGTAATTTAGAAGTTATAGTAACGATTTGTTACTTACTCAGTTTTTTGTTTTTTATTGAAATGATTTTATTGATCATTTTATAACGATACCCATTTGGGGATTGTGGCTGATATCAAGTATTTTTTTTCTCTCTTATAGAGATTATTTTTATTTGATGAGAGATGGGTACTAGGAAGTTTTTCACGCTTGCTGAATTAGAAGACGCTGTAAATGTGACGATGATGGTGCTACTGTTGATATTGTTGAACTTCCTCCTGATAAGGTCGATATTGTTTCGGATATCGAAGACATTGATGAGAATACATTAGAAGATAGCTGTCCCAGAGATGTTCCCGGCAGACTAGAAATTCGTTCGAGTGCTCTGAATATAGCTTCTACAAGCACAGGCCCAAATAACAACAATATAACTAGAACTGTACAAAAACCAAAACGTATGAAAAAAACTAATAGGAAGAGTCGAGAAACAAATTCAGATTGGCAAAAAGTAAGACACGACTTTGTAAAAATACTTGGAAATAATAATGACATTGAGAATGTTCGATCACAAATAAAGCAGTCAGACAAAGTGTCACATACGCCGCTCAAAATAACAGACATAGTTTTACTTTTTCAACAGACTGTTTGAGAAAATTTATAGGATTTTTATTGCTTACTGGATACCATTCATTAGCACAGGAGCAAATGTATTGGTGTGAAGATGAAGACTTATGCATTGAAGTTGTAAGAAAATGTTTTCCTAGAAATAGATATTTGGAAATAAAAAGAAATCTTCATTTCAATGATAATTCCGAGCTCATCACTAATAAGACAGCAGATCCGGATTTCAAAATAAGTCCATTAATAAAGTTAATGAATCAACGATATCTCAAATTTGGTGTTTTTTCAAAAAATATAAGTATTGACGAGCAAATGGTTCGGTACTATGGTCATCATTATTTCAAGCAGTTCATTAGGGGAAAGCCAATTCGATTTGGATTCAAACAATGGACAATGTGCTGTGCAGAAACGGGATACTGTTATCACACTGAGTTGTATACAGGGAAAAGAAATGAAGACTGCGAATTACAAGGTCTGGGTGAATCTGTTATAATGAAGAACATAGAGCTTCTCGAAAATCCTTCAAATCATGTATTTTGCTTTGATAACTTTTTTACTAGTTTTCAACTGGACTTGGTTAGAGGGCGTGTATGAGGAAGCGTGTTTTTGTGAGAGGTGCGGAAATAAACAGAGAGTTATTGTAAAAAAAAGGAAAGAGACTTTGAAAACGAGGGAATAAGAAGTAAGGACAGGTAATGTAGTAGAGATATAAATAAGAAAATAGGGTAAAGAATATAGAATATATAAGTAAATAAGAAAATAGGAAAAGTGAGGTTAGGTACAAAAGCGTAGAATACTCATACTTATTGTAAGTGGATAGATAAGGGAAAAAAGAAAAGCGGTAAAGTATTAATATAGAAATTAGTAGAAATACAAGTAGCAATAAGTTTAATATAATTTAGTTAAGTAGGGGAGCAAGAAGAATTAGATTAGAAATAGCAGGTTATAGATTAGAAAGGAATGGAAGACATGGAAAACAAGGAAATAGAAGGTGAGGCCCCAGGCACACCACGCAAAGAAAAAAGAAAAAGAGGAAAGCCTTCGAAGGAAGGATACAGGAGCAGGGAAAGGTCAAGTAATAGAACAATGATGGAACAATGGAGTGGGTTCACAGGGAAAGAAGATAAGGCAGAAGAAATAGATATAGAGGAGTCACCCCAAAAAGAACAGATAAGAAGACAACCCTCCAAAGAGAGGGAAGAGGCGAAGGAAGGGAAGAAAAGGAGCTGTCAAAAGAAACTGTAGGCATAATAGTAAGTAGAATAGAAGACATAAGATTAGAAATAGTACAAGGAAGACAGGGGCTAGAAAAGGAAATAAAGAAAGAAATAAATGGGCTGGCACAAAGGATAGAAAATATAGAGGAAAGATGGAAGAGAAAAGAAGAAGAGTTATGTAGGAAAATGGAGGAAGTAATACAAAATATAAAGGAGAAAGAAGAAAAAGAAAATGAAAGAAAGAGTAAAGAAAGAGAAGAACTAATAGAAAACATCTTAGAAAAAGTAGAACAAAGGCTAGAGAAAGATAGAACGAATGAAGGGGAAGTAAAACAAGGGGAGAGGACGAAGGAGATGTGGGGAGATATGAGAAAGATGAAAAGGAGGTGGGAAGAACAAGAAAGGAAGGAGAGAAAAAATAAAATGGTAACAAGAGGTCTCAAAACAAGAAACAATGAGGCAAAAAGAAAAGTGGAAGAATTCATGGAAGAGGAATTTGACATAAAAAAGGGAGTAAGTATGGTGCAAACAAGAGGAAGGGGAGAGGAAAGCAAGCTGACAATAGTAGAAATGAAAGACTGGGAAACAAAAAGTGATGAAGAAGAAAAAGAAATTGGGAGGGAAAAGTATATACATAGATCATGATCTGACAGAGGAAGAAAGAAGAGTGCAGAGAGAACTAAGGGAGAGAGCAAAGAAGGAAAGAGCAAAAGAGAGAGAAGCAAAGGTAGGATATAAGAAAATTTATATACAAGGTAGATGCTATATTTGGAATAGTGAGAAGGAAGAAATAGAAGAAAGGGAGGATTTTCAGAAGAGGTTCCACAGTGCAAAAGAGCTACAAACAAAAGAAAAACAAGGCAACAAGAGAGAACAAGAGGCACACAAAAGGAAGTAGTAAAGGGAGGGAGGAAAATAGAAAGGGGAGGATTGAAAGAGGAGGATAGTAAAAGAGGGAAGTTATTATTCTGGAACGTGGCAGGATTGGAAAGGAAGGATAAGGATTTTTGGAACTATGTGAAAAAACACGACTATATAGGAATAACAGAGACATGGGTAGATCACAAAGGATGGGAAAGGTTAAAAGGGAAACTTCCAGAGGGATTCACGTGGAGCTGCCAAACAGCAAAGAAAGAAAAGAAGAAAGGAAGGGCACGAGGAGGAATCATCACAGAAATTAAAGAGGGATGGGAAGGGATAGAAGAGATAAGTAATAGTGAAGGTCTAGTAGGAAGAAGAGTGAAAATAGAAGGGGAGACATGGTACACAGTATACTCAAACAAAGAGATGAGTAGAATAGCTAAAGAAATCAATGAGAAATTGGAGCAGGCAAAAGAGGAGGTAATAATAATTGGAGGGGATTTTAACGCTAGAATAGGAAGGGAAGGGAAATTATATGGTGGAGAACTGGAAAAGGAACAGGAAAAAAGAAAATCGAAAGACAAAGTAACAAATGGTGAGGGAGAGAGACTGTTAAAGATGGTAGCGGAGAGAGGGTGGCATATACTCAATGGAAATATGGAAGGAGACGAGAAGGGGGAATTCACGTACATAGAGAAAAGAGGAGAAACAGTTATTGATTATGTTATAACCAACACAATAGGCTTCGACAAAATAGAAAACTTTCAGGTTGGAAGCAGAATAGATTCAGACCATCAACCTCTAAATGTGACAGTTAAAACTAAAGGAGGAAATAAGGTAGAGGAAAATGAACAAAAGATAAGGGAAAAAGTGTACTGGAAACCAGAAAGTATAGAGCGCTACAAAGAAACAACGAAGGATAGAATTTTTGAAAAAGAGGAAAATGTAAATAAGAAGTGGCAGAAGCTGGAAACAGCGGTAAAAGAAAATATGGAGACAAGGAGAATACTAGTGAAGAAATGGACAATAGGACAGAAATATTGGTGGGACAGGGAATGTACCAAAGAAAAAAGAAAAGTGGGGAGATGATACAAAAATGGAGACAAGGAAAAATAAGGAAAGAAGAATATTTGCAAAAGAAAGCGGAGTTCAGAGAACTTTGCGAGAGCAAAGAAAAGCGTAAAAAACAGGAAGAAGAGGAAGAAATAAGGAAAGCGAAGACAGAGAAGCAAATATGGGACTACATTAACAAGGATAGGAAGAAAAAGACTCACTGCAATAATAAAATCAACATAGAAGCATGGAGGAAACATTTTTAGGATTTGTTAGGAGGAGCAGATACAAAGATAGAAGGAGAAAAGCGAGAGCAGGTGGCAGCAGAGGAAGATGAAACAGAATTATCAGATAAAGAAATAGAGAAACAAATAAGGAAACTGAAAATGAAAAAAGCCGCAGGAGGAAACAAGATACCAAATGAAACATGGTTGTACAGTGAGGGGAATACAAGGGAAGAGTTAAAGGAGGTTGTCAGGAAGGTTTGGGCACGGAGGGGATTCCCTGATAGCTGGAGAAAGGCAGTGATAACTGCACTTCATAAGAAAGGAGACAAGGAAAGAGAAAGATAGAACGAATGAAGGGGAAGTAAAACAAGGGGAGAGGACGAAGGAGATGTGGGGAGATATGAGAAAGATGAAAAGGAGGTGGGAAGAACAAGAAAGGAAGGAGAGAAAAAATAAAATGGTAACAAGAGGTCTCAAAACAAGAAACAATGAGGCAAAAAGAAAAGTGGAAGAATTCATGGAAGAGGAATTTGACATAAAAAAGGGAGTAAGTATGGTGCAAACAAGAGGAAGGGGAGAGGAAAGCAAGCTGACAATAGTAGAAATGAAAGACTGGGAAACAAAACAAAAAGTGATGGAGAAGAAAAAGAAATTGGGAGGGAAAAGTATATACATAGATCATGATCTGACAGAGGAAGAAAGAAGAGTGCAGAGAGAACTAAGGGAGAGAGCAAAGAAGGAAAGAGCAAAAGAGAGAGAAGCAAAGGTAGGATATAAGAAAATTTATATACAAGGTAGATGCTATATTTGGAATAGTGAGAAGGAAGAAATAGAAGAAAGGGAGGATTTTCAGAAGAGGTTCCACAGTGCAAAAGAGCTACAAACAAAAGAAAAACAAGACAACAAGAGAGAACAAGAGGCACACAACAGGAAGTAGTAAAGGAAGGGAGGAAAATAGAAAGGGGAGGATTGAAAGAGGAGGATAGTAAAAGAGGGAAGTTATTATTCTGGAACGTGGCAGGATTGGAAAGGAAGGATAAGGATTTTTGGAACTATGTAAAAAAACACGACTATATAGGAATGACAGAGACATGGGTAGATCACAAAGGATGGGAAAGGTTAAAAGGGAAACTTCCAGAGGGATTCACGTGGAGCTGCCAAACAGCAAAGAAAGAATAGAAGAAAGGAAGGGCACGAGGAGGAATCATCACAGAAATTAAAGAGGGATGGGAAGGGATAGAAGAGATAAGTAATAGTGAAGGTCTAGTAGGAAGAAGAGTGAAAATAGAAGGGGAGACATGGTACACAGTATACTCAAACAAAGAGATGAGTAGAATAGCTAAAGAAATCAATGAGAAATTGGAGCAGGCAAAAGAGGAGGTAATAATAATTGGAGGGGATTTTAACGCTAGAATAGGAAGGGAAGGGAAATTATATAGTGGAGAACTGGAAAAGGAACAGGAAAAAAGAAAATCGAAAGACAAAGTAACAAATGGTGAGGGAGAGAGACTGTTAAAGATGGTAGCGGAGAGAGGGTGGCATATACTCAATGGAAATATGGAAGGAGACGAGAAGGGGGAATTCACGTACATAGAGAAAAGAGGAGAAACAGTTATTGATTATGTTATAACCAACACAATAGGCTTCGACAAAATAGAAAACTTTCAGGTTGGAAGCAGAATAGATTCAGACCATCAACCTCTAAATGTGACAGTTAAAACTAAAGGAGGAAATAGGGTAGAGGAAAATGAACAAAAGATAAGGGAAAATGTGTATTGGAAACCAGAAAGTATAGAGCGCTACAAAGAAGCAACGAAGGATAGAATTTTTGAAAAAGAGGAAAATGTAAATAAGAAGTGGCAGAAGCTGGAAACAGCGGTAAAAGAAAATATGGAGACAAGGAGAATACTAGTGAAGAAATGGACAATAGGACAGAAATATTGGTGGGACAGGGAATGTACCAAAGAAAAAAGAAAAGTGGGGAGATGGTACTAAAAATGGAGACAAGGAAAAATAAGGAAAGAAGAATATTTGCAAAAGAAAGCGGAGTTCAGAGAACTTTGCGAGAGCAAAGAAAAGCGTAAAAAACAGGAAGAAGAGGAAGAAATAAGGAAAGCGAAGACAGAGAAGCAAATATGGGACTACATTAACAAGGATAGGAAGAAAAAGACTCACTGCAATAATAAAATCAACATAGAAGCATGGAGGAAACATTTTAAGGATTTGTTAGGAGGAGCAGATACAAAGATAGAAGGAGAAAAGCGAGAGCAGGTGGCAGCAGAGGAAGATGAAACAGAATTATCAGATGAAGAAACAGAGAAACAAATAAGGAAACTGAAAAAGAAAAAAGCCGCAGGAGGAGACAAGATACCAAATGAAGCATGGTTGTACAGTGAGGGGAATACAAGGGAAGAGTTAAAGGAGGTTGTCAGGAAGGTCTGGGCACGGAGGGGATTCCCTGAGAGCTGGAGAAAGGCAATGATAACTGCACTTCATAAGAAAGGAGACAAGGAAAATCCGGCCAACTATAGAGGGATAAGTCTATTAAGCACAGCGTACAAGATATATGCGTCGGT